GGGGCGGGGGGGGGACCCACCCGCCTGCTCTTGCACAGCCAGCCTCTGCGCGCCCTTACCTTCCCGCCTCCCGGCTGATGCTTCAGGTTCTCTGTGGAGCCGATCTTGGACTTGACGTTCTTCAGGTCTGGCATGGGCCCGGGGGCGGTCTGCAGGCGGCTCTTAGCTGCAGACGGCGACTTGGGTGGAGTGCGGACCACTGCCACCTTCTTGGGCTCCCGGGTGGGCGGGGTCGGTAGGGAAGGGGTGCGGGAGCGGCTGCCCGGAGTGCCTGGGGAGCCGGGGCTGCTGTAGCCACTGCGGTCCCCGGATTTCCCAGATTCACCTGGAAAGGAAGGAGGGCGTGAGGCCAGTTAGCAAAGGGCTATCTGTCCTGGGGTCCATTCCCAGACTCAGGGCTGGATCAGGCACGTGGAAACAAGGTCAGAAGCTCAGTCAAACCAGCAGGAGGCTGCCCTTGGTCCCATTTCTAGAGAAATGTCTCCACTTCCCAGCCGTGCTGCTTTGCGACAGAGATATCCTGCTTCCCAGGGAAGCAAAAGAGTGGTCGCCAAGGACCACCCAGTACCCCCTAGAGGGGGACCAACTCTGCCCTGTGGCCCTGGGGCCAGGAGAGGCTCCAGCTAGCTGTGTGGTCTCAGACAAGTCATTTACCCACTCTGAGCTCAGAGGAAAAAATTGTAATGCCTGTGGTGAGTGAGGCTGGGCAGGGATACATGGCCTGTGCCCTGAATAAGGGCAGTGCAATGGGGGGCCAGGGCCCCATCTGCATCCACTGGACTCTTTAACCACAGGGTGAATTTTAAGCTGTTCGCCAAGTTCAAGGCCCCTTTTCCCTCAGACCCCATCCAAACTCCCAGCTCCTCTGTGGTACCTGGGCTCCACAATGGCATAACTGCTTTGTGTCCATCTGTCCCGGGCTCTCCAAACAAGCCATGCCGCTTCCTGCTGCCCTGCCTTCCCGAGAACCCTCTCCCCACCAAAACGATGCGCAGCAAATAGCAGTGCACTTTTCCAGGCACAATGCAGGCGCCAAGCCCTCCAGGAAGGCCGCTGGGCCCATCCCTCTCCCAGCAGAACAGCCCTGGGTTCCCTAACATGAGTCTCTTCCTGCACTTCTCATCCCCCATCACACTTCAATAGTTGGCTATTCCGTCTGCCTCTTGGATTCGTGTTTCACCAAGTGTGGCCCCAGGCACCCCTGCATCAGAATCTCCAGAGCCACCACAGAGGAGTGGGACCTGTAAGATGCAGATCTCCAGGCCCCATCTAGACCTGATAGGACAGAATCTCTAGGGGTGCAGCCTGAAAAATTGGTGCTTCCCACGCTCCCAGGGATTCTTGAGCAGACTCGAGTCTGAGAGCCACTGGGCTGGATGCTGGGCCCCAGCTCTGAGGGTGGCTAATGCCCCCGCCCCAGAAACCATTTGTACCAAACAGGGACCTGCCGGGCCCCAGGCTGGAGAAGGGCAGCTCTTTGCTGGAAGCGGCAACTTCTCTTGCCGAGGCAAGAAGGAGCGTGTGGCTTTTAGTGTAGTCTCCGTGTCTGCTGGAACTCCCTCACGGTGCCAAGCTCTGCAGCAGCAGGGCAGATGAAGCCAGGGCTTGGTGCCCCTCACCCTCTGCCCCCAGGCACACAGGCTGGCTGGTGGACCTGGTGGTGGCTTCAAATTCTTTCTGCGCCACTGAATTGCAGAGTGACCTTAGGCAAGTTACTCGACCTCCCCGGGTCCAGCACAGTGACCGTCAGCCACAGGATGCCCGTGCGATCTCACATGTAACCTGGTTAGGGCCAGTGCAGACCTCCAGCCCCCGTATCAGCTCGAGGCACATCCTCCCCTGGGCCCACCACAGCCCTCGGCTGAAGTGAGAGCACGCAGGATTAGAAAAGCCCGTTGGACAGACATATCCGCACAAACCACATGAAGAGAGGAGCAGGAATTCTGACTGTTCCAACTTGAGGCTCAACGTGGGAAACCTACGTTTCAGAAGCACGTCCTCCCGGCTCTAAAAACCTAAGCCAACCCAGAGCCACATGCGCAAAAGGCATGACCCTGCTGGGTGAAGCAGGCTCAGAATTACCTCTCTCAGATTTTGCCCCTCCATGGGGTGGTTTTTTCTGCACTTGCTTGGTAGCTTAAAAAGAAAAATCCACAGAAAGCCTCGTTATCATTGAGCTTAAAGAGGCCTTAATGAGTGTTTTTTTATGGGCGCCCAGTCATGCCCAGCCAAGCCATCCACAGAGGCGAGCAAGGTGGGGAACGGGGTCAGGGGCTCCATCTGGCAGGAAACAAGGCCAACTTGGGGGAGATCTGTCCACCCAAGAGCAGGTAAGATCCAGAGAGAAACACACGTTCTTGTTTCCAGTTATGACTCCAGTTGCGTGAATCAACTGGCGCAATGTTCAGTGAAAAAAAGCAGTCAAAATCATGTAAAAATTCCAGTCACAAGTCTGTAAGTTACCCCGTATCATATGTATCGTATACATGCGGAAAAACCCTGTGGGAGAAAACCAACGTACGGGCCTCAGCGAGCGGGCGTCCGTGCAGGCCCCCCTCTACGGCAACCTTGAGAAACGTCACGGCCAAGACATGCAGCAGACAAGGGCTCTGAGCGGCCACCCCGGGGCCAAGGAGCAGCAGAGGACCCGTGGCACCAGCCCAGGCCTCGTGCACAGCCCATATAAGATCCACAGGGCCCCTGAGCCAGCGCAGGCCAGACGCCCCCCGAGTCATGCACAATCTAAACCCAGTTTCCTGGGACAGTCCCCAGGGCAGTGAGACAGGGGCACTCAGCCTGGCTGTCCCCAGTGGAAGCAAAATGGCTCAAGTGAAGCCTTGCCTGGTACTCAAAACCAAGTGGGTTTTACTCACAGGAGCCCGGGGGAACGGGCCCTAAGATTCTTAGGTTCTGTCTGAGGGTCCCTAACATCCCAGCAAGTTAGCAGGGGCCGTGCCCTGTGTGAGGTCACCTATAGTGACGTAACCCTCATCTGGGGACTGAAAAACACCTCCCAGGGACCCTGGATGTGGGGTCCAAGGATCTCAGAGAAGCCCCTTTTCCGTCAGTTACTAGTCTTACGGCTGCGTTTTCCTCATGCTTAAAAGTCTGGTTAGACTTAGTCGAGCCTCGATTTCTTCATGGTAAAAAGTGGGGATTCAATATCTTGCTCAGAAAATTAAAAGAATTACAAAATGAACATTTGGTGCTTAGTAAACTGCAGGCGTCGATCAGCTACCAGAGCTTAACTGTCAGGGCCTCCACAGCGAGCTCTCCGCCAACCCCCGACTTGGATTCCAGAGAACATCCCTCTTACCCGTGCCCGGTGGGGTCTTCGGGGTCGGCGTGGTCTTCGGGGTGGGCGTGGTTTTCGCTGGAATCCGGGTGGCGTTGGCCGGGCCCTTCTGGCCTGGAGGGGCCGCTCCCCGGGGTGTGGCGATCTTCGTTCCAGGTTTACCATCCACCCCCTGTAAACGAAGCGTGGTCGAGTGGTTTTTACGACTGGGAAAGGTTCCTGCCACCCGGTGTCAATGCCAGCCCCATTCAACCACCGTGACTCCAAATGAGGCTAAGGTTGGGGTGACACTTTGCCAGCCAGATACAACAAATGTCCTCTATAATGACGAGGGTTTGCTGGGCACACAAATCCACAGCCCCTCCCAAATGCCTACCTTTTCCTCCTGGAGGGACATTTTACATGAGTTATCTGCAAGAGCTGAGCTAATGTATTTAATAAAAAGTCAACGGAGCTTACAGCAATGATCGAGTTCATCATCCAACCAGTGTGTCGGCAGGCAGGACATCTGTAGACTCTTCCTACATGGACACCATTCTCTGACTCCCTTAGGGATTTATCTGACTGGTGGTGGTTAGTTTCAGAGGGACAAGGAGACAGTTTGTTGAAACTGACCGAGAGTGCTAACAGAGCTCGGCCCTATCCTTCTGTTCTCTCCCAAACAAGCCTCAGGCTTCAGTACCACCTCAGGTGTGCTAAGAACCCTTGGCGGGTGAACACCAGCATCAATTAGCAAACTGGCCAAAGGTGGAGCACAGGTGCACAATCACAGTCAGCTGACGTCTGGGGACCCAGTTGATGACCTTGACATATAAGACAAACTCAAAGAAGAAACTGACATGAACTGAGGACCACAAGATGGTTCAGGAAGGAGTAAACTGGTGGGACAGGCATGGCTGCAGAGTGATGCTGTCCGACCCAAAATGAGGACAACCTGGAAGCACCCCTGGCTACCAAAGTCAGAAATGGACCAAGGAACCCAAACAGAGTGGCGATTTCCAAGCCAGGGTCCCCTCCGGTGCCTTAGGGGCTGCTGCCACGAGGGCCGACGGGGCGCCAAGAAGGATGGCACTGTGTCTCCTTTTCCTTGTTTCAGCCAGAATTTTAACTGTTCTACGTGGCGCTTCTAGGTAAGAGCTTATCCAAAGAAAGGTCTTTGCAGCTAGAAAAGCATACACTTGAAAACCACAGTAGAGCAGCCTCATTCTTTCCAAAGGTGCTTTCCTTACCTTGACTTTCATCTCCTTTGTTCCAGAACTGCCAGTTCGGGGCGTGACAGAAGAGACGTGTTTAGGAGAGGAAGATGGCTCTGGGCACACGGCGGGGCTGGAGGGTTTGATCAAAGGGTCTGAGCTACCAGGAGTGGGGCGTTTGGAGCTAAGGCAAGGCCTATTGCTCAGGGTTTTAGCAGAGGAAGGTGTGGATGTCTTAAACATAAACATGAATAAAATCAAAATAAAAGTCAGCACATGGGAGAAATGAACAAATTAAAAAAAAGACAGTGACTGCAAATAACTAAGACAGGTAATGGTTTAAAGCCGTGATTTCCAAACTGTTTGGATCACGCACCCTTATCAGTCCTTCTTATCAGGAAGAACAGAAAGTGACCATGCATCTCATGTACTTGTAGTTATGCATCAGCTAATACATATACTACGATGCTAACATACGATGAACATTATGAAACTTTCATGTGGCAGAACTTGGAAAATGGATAGACTTTCTGGTACGTGCTTTCTCCAGCCCGTTGGATCTATTTCAGCTCTGCCCTTTGGAGACCACTGGTTTAAAGGTGTCTCGCACCCAAAGAGTTGATGGAGGTCGCCAAAAGTATGTGATTCTTAGGATGTTTCTCAAGAAAACATCTCCAATGTGTCATGGGGTCAGAAGTGCCCCAGGTTCTGCTCAATTCCAGGTGGGGAGCTCATGCTGGCCCCCTAACTCCTGGCCTTCTTCCACCGCACCGAATCATCCTTGCTAAAAAGAGAACCGTGCCTGCCCCAGGTCTTGACGATTCTGCCTGACACCACTTAGATAACGCGCGTGCACGCACACACACACACACGTACACACACACACACACTCACACTTTCTGAATAAAGTCTCAAAACTAAACACTGTCTGGTGAATCTTATCTGGCCACTGTTTACTCTTGGACACGGTCCACCTAAGGAAATAGGCTGTGTGGCGCAGGCGGCCAATGGGACAGGGCTCTGTGAGCTGGCTGGCCTCACGGAGATGAGAGCATGTGAAGGATGGTGGCCGACACCTGCGGTTTGTCTGGATGGCCTCCGGGAGCCCTGGTAGGGAAGGGTGGCCTGGGAGGGGGAAGGGCCATGCCTTCAGGAATACAACCAAGAGGCCAAGCCCAGAGGTGCTCCGAGGAGGATGTCAGAGCTACAGAGCAGGGTCCTGACCAGAGACTTTGTTACTGGGGTTCACCACTAAGGTGGCTGAGACCCTCTCTGCTGCCAGCCTTGGGGAGGACGAGAGCGAAAGGGATGGAGCACGGGGGTGAGGGGAGGGATGCGGGCTGAAGCCCTGGGGCTGCTGACAAGAAAAGCTGAGGGTGGGTACTGGCGACCCCTCCTTCCCCAGCTGCGCGAGGTCCCCCTCCCCTGGCACTGCTCCCTACCTGGCCAAGTGGCCAAGGTTCGTGAGAGATCTGAGCCCTTGCTGTGAGGCCGTGAGCAGCTCCGGGGCAGGGACAGCTTCCTGATGGATGAGTGAACAGAATGCATGCCGGCATGAGGACGCGATTCCCCTGAATGGGCATCATGACTGGCAAGCAGCTATTGCCTTCCCTCAAGTTCCCGCAGGACCCTCAGCTGCCCCACTGATGGGCAGTCCTGATGGCGAAGCCTGCTTCCTCTAGGGCAGACACTTCAGGCAGCGACCCTCAACACACATGACCAAACTCTTAGGGCTTCATTCTGCATCTGGGGACTCCATCAGGCCTTCTGATGAAGACCCAGGCGTTTCAGGCAGCATGCATATGGGACATTTGAGACGCCTTTAAGAAAAACAGGTCTTCATCTAGGGCCCCAGCGAGATTCTCCTGGCAAAATACTACCATGCAGTTACAGGAGCTTTTTCCAAGAGGCACAGTCATGGAGAAGAATACACCAGAGCTGAAAGGGGGCACGAGGAGGGCCACATTGTTACGGGTGTGGTTTTGGTGGTGAGCAAGTTGCTTCATTTTCTGGTCCTCGGCCAGACCGGCTGGCAGGATTTCAGGACGGCGTCCACGGTATCATGGCCCACGTGTCCACTCAGCATGTAGGGTGTGTGTCAGGCTTCCCTCCTCCAGCCTGGGTCAGCCCCACTCCGAGCTCGGCAGCAACCAAGCCGATCTGCTCAGAGCTCCCCAAAGAGTCTCCTCATGCCCCCGGGCCTTTGCTTGTGCTGGTCCTATTCCTTAGAACGCCTCTTCTCACTCCTACGTCACCAACCCCTTTCATGTTTCCTTCTCGGCCTGCCTCACAGGTCCGCTCTTCTAGGGCTTTTCCAGGACCCTCCGCCTCAGGCTGGAGATCTCCTTCTTGCTCAGTACTCCCTCAGCCCCCTAAGGAAATGGTATTTTCTAGATATATCTTAAATATATCTGTGTGCGTGTATGTATATAGATACATATTTGCTGAGCCTAGACCTGTAGCAGGAAGTGTAAAATGTGCAAATTTCAAACTTCATTGCAGAAAATTCAAACACACCTTCATTTACTGTGAACGTCTTAATTCAAGCTATGCTGATGCAACTACAATTAGCATTAATTAATTCATAACTTGCTGACTGCCCTTCCCTGGCCCAAGCGTCCAGGGATAAATGCTAGAATTTTAAAAGTTTGCATAAAAACACAAAGCACTTTGAATGACAGTTGTACTTTAGGGACAAACGCTCTCCACATGTTATATATAAAGATTAATTCAGATACAAAGCATGGCTTCTTGATCAACTTGATGGCAGCAGAGAGGTTTCATGGTTTTGTCAGCTTACCTTGGTTTTTTTGTCCTCGGGTCCAGCCCCATCTTTGCCTTTACTGACCGTGCGAGCTGATAAAATATAAAATGAGAATGTATGTTACACCCATTAGCACAGCTCACAAAGAGCCCGACGGAGTGGAGCTGATTTCTCGGGATCCATACAACATGTCTTGTTCAGTTGGGCCAGTGGAAATCCAGTTGATTTTCTTTCCCCTTGATCAACTGTTAGGTTCTCGTTGTTAGTATCAACACAGCACACTGGAGTCACTGCTTGGAGCACCCTGACAAGAGTGGGGAGCAGGCTGGCCGAGGGCAAGGACATGCAGAGGGGAAACTGTTCCGGGCATATGTTGGCACAGGGGCCATCAGGGAAGGTAGACAGTACAGGACCACCTCTCACAGGCTCCCTCCCCGTCTCTGTCGGGGTCAGCCTCCCACAGCTGGGGCCAACCCCACTCCAAGGAGGGGCATTTGGAAAACCCAGGGCCACGGATGGGGCAGCTCAGCCAGGCTCCAGTCCCTGCAGGACCCTCTGCTCATTCAAGGGCCAAGGGGCGTAGGCTGTTTTCCCAGAGCCCGCCCCTCACTAATGGGGGCTTCGGTGACCAGCCCCAGCTGGCTCTCTGACAAGCCCATCCCACCCTTGACCCAACCCTGGAGGGTCTTCTCACCACTTACAGTCTCTCCCAAGAGGACTAATGCTTGCCATTTCTCCAAGTTAGCAACAATCTAGCTACTGTCAAACATCCTATAGATAACCTCTGGATTTTTAGGACCAAACCATTGACGGCTTTTGTGTTTGGAAAGCCACACCCGTTGGTGAAACCAATCCACTGGTCTACCAGTGTCACCTCTAACTCACTCCTGTTATTGGCATTCATTACTGAAGAGACTAATTATAGGTTTCTGTCTCCCCTGCTCCAGGGACAATGGGGCTGCTTGGAGCATCTCACTGGTTACTGGAGACCAGATTTCTAGAGTGACCAGCACTGATGACCTAGCCCAGAGGTTTTCAAACTTTACTATGCAGCAGAACTCCATTGGGAGAGATTCCTAAAATACAGAATCCCGGGCTCACTCTGAGACAGTAAGCCTAAGGTGGGGCCCAAGAACCTGCATTTTAATAAGAGCCCCAGGTGGACCTGGTTCACATCTTTTGCCCCAGTGACCATCATCATCTATGTCACAACAAAAGCATCTGCTAGATCAGCATTTCCCAGTGCTGACTGGCGAATTGGGGAAAAGCATACCATGTATCCTTCTCAGAGGGTCATAATGTACATTAGAATATTAAAGGCTCTGACAAGTCCTGCTGCAGCAAACCCTGTTTAACTTTGTTTCACCTGTTTTTTTCCCCAAACTAATTGGACCATGGAACTCTTTTTTCCCTGGGCACACCTATCAACATCCAGTGGACCAGTATTCAATAAAATGCCACTTCAGGAAACACTGTTGTAACCTGTCAAGTCACAGTATTTTGCCCCATACTATTTTGGAGTTTAGGATATTTTAAAGTAGGACTCTTTCTCTGACTTAAATTTTAAATACAGGTTCCTTTATCTATAACATTTCAAAGTTTTCATGACGAGTAGACTCTAATCCACATTTAACAGATGTCTGCAACTGACAGCTTAAGTAGCCTCAATTTCTGGGCCCCGCAAATAATTCTAAAATGCTACAGGACCTAAATATATGAATGCGCCCAACTTGTGGCCATCCATGAGGCCCCCTCTGGAGTATAAACTGTCCTCTCACTGACAGGACACAGACCCTGACCCTTGGGAACCTCCCCTCCCATCTCTCCAGCTCCTGAAGGGCTGCCGCAGTGACGCTTCCCAGGGCTCAAGACTGGGCCAGGGCTGAGACCCCTACGATCCCAGCACAGGGACTGCCTGGGCTCTGCCGAGGGAGGAGGAGGTGTTTTCTTCCACAGGGAGTTTTTGTTTCTGCTCACTGTCTATCCTGCCACAAGGCAGGGTGGAGTGGAGTGGGGGTGGGGACTCTGGGCCACCTCCAAATGCTTGTGTGTGTCGCCTGCTACATGTGATGTGTTGTCCACTGACAGAGCCGAAGAAGACAGGCACGTGCCCTCTGAGTCTCCCAGCTAGGAGGACACACTTCAGGACCTTCTGGAAGGCACTGTGGTGTATAGGGAAGGAAGGGCCTTTCGGAGCAGACCTACCTGGATTCCGAACCTGGCTCCATCACCTAATACTCAGTGACCTTCAGCAAGGTACTTTACCTCTCCGAGCCTCAGTTTCCTCATCTGCAAAGTGGGGCTAATTATGCCCACTTGAGAGGGTTGGGAGAGTTCTAGACAATGAATTTGAAAGACACAACAAGCCCTCCAAAGCGGGAGGAGCTACTATGCTCTCTGTGGAGTGCGGCCCACCAGCCTCCAGCGGGCCGATGGAACCTTGTGGATAGATCAAGTGGCCAGAGAAGCGAACGGGGCAGAAAGCATGGGGCGGGGGGTGTTGGTGACATGCAAAACAGCAGGCAAGCGTGAGAGGAGCCTGAAGGGCAGGAGGAGGTGGGAGGGTGAGCAGAGGCCCAGGTGGCCGGTTTGCTGGCTGTCCCCCGGGGGCCTTGGAAGCGGCAGGAACCAAGGAGGGGCCGGAAGCTCAGTGGCAGTGCCCGCAGCCTGGGTGGCACACAAGGTCGCCGGGCAGGAGCAAAGGAGCTCAAGACACAGACCTTTGAGTTGAGGAACCCGGCTGACGGGCTTCCCTGGCAGACCAGCTGCAGGCTGCTTTTCAGATGGTTCTGGAAGGGCAGTCTTTTTTGTGTCCTCGCCCTCAGAGGGGCCCCAGGGCTCTTGCTCTGCTCCAGAGGCCCCAGGAACTGCAGCCCCTTCCAAATCCACCTCCGAAGGTCCCTGCTCCTTCTGCACATTGGCTTTGATTTCCACGTGGAACATGAACTCGGGGGGCCCGTCGTGCCTTTCCGCTGGGGACCCCTCCCCGGGCCCATCGGGCTCTGAGACCCGGGTCTCTGCAGAAGCTTTAGAGAGGAAATCGACAGGGAGGGGGATGGCACCCTTGGCTGAGAAACCAGGGATCCCAGGGGCTTCTCCGGAAACTGCGTCGGGGGTTGGCTCGCCTCGGGTGGTGGGGCTCTGCAGATGTGCGGAGACCTGGGAGGGAAAGGAGTCCTGGGGAGAGGACTCGTCAGTGTCCCGGTCTTCATCCACCTCCTTGCCCCCCAGCCTCTCTTTGCCCTGCTCCCTCTTCAGAGGTGGCCCCTCCTGGGTCAGGTCTCCCAGAAGCTGGCACTCCAGCAGCTCAGAGCCGCAGCGGCTGCCGTCTGCATCCTCAGGTTCTGGCCCCGAATGCTGGTGTGTGGCCTCTCTGGAGCCTTCGGGCAGGATGGGAGCCCCAGGCATGTCAGACACGTGCTGGCAGGTCAGACCTGGGGTTCCGGGGTCCATGGCCTCACCTCCACGGAGCCCTGGTTCCCTGAGGAAGATTTCCTGGACAACCTTGACACTCCCAGGCTCCGTCTGGAGACATCCAGGGTAGGTGGGCTTCGGAAAGGCCAGCCCCTCCTCGGCCCGCTCCCCTCGCTTTGGTCCCCACTCCTGGTGGGGCTCCTGAGGGCCTCCTGGTGGGAGAGGTGGCTGGCAGACAGGATGATGCTGGGAAAGGTGAGAGATCGCCAGGACGGGAGCTTCTGGCTGTTTCTCCCCCAGATGCAGCTCGGAGACCCCAGAAGCTTCTTGGCCGTGTGCAGGCTGGACCTGAGAGCTAAGCCCATTAGCAGGGGGCCTCTCAGACACTTCCCTCTGCTGGCCCGGAACTCTCCCCTCCTCTGGGTTTGAAGAGGTGGAGGTGGCAAAAGGTTAGCAAGAGCGCATTAAGTGTTTAAGAGAGGGGACACACTTTTGAAAGAAGAAAAGGACATTTAAACGGCATCTCAAGCCCACCTAACCAAGAAAAGGGAGCCCATGCTCTGGGCTCACCCTCGTTGCTTTTCTTTGCTTAGAATGAAAGGTCTCTTGGTCTATCTGCCACCAACTTGCTGGGTGAGCACCTCCCCTCTCTGGGCCTCAGTTTTCTCATCTTTGGACCAAAGCCCCGTCTAGTGCCAGCATTATCCCTCTGCCCATCGTGGGTCTGGTTGGGCTCCGAGCGTCCTGTCATTAGCTGGGGCTGCCTCGTGCCAACCCCACAGCCACGAAGCTTGTCCTCTTCTCCAGGGACAGCGAGCCCCCCGAAGGCTCTGGCCTCTAGCTGGGACCTGGGTGGGGCGCAGTGAGGATCTCTTTTCCTCTCCTTCTCTCTCTGTTCCCCCTTTGTGCTGAATGAAACCAGCAGGTGCCTACAAACCCACCCTGACAGAGTTGAAAAACCCCAAACGTATCACCATCAGGGCTCAAGTCTTTACTAATAGACCTGCCAGTAAACAGAAACACGGTTCAGGTGCATCCAGATCGTGGATTATGGACAGGCTTCTGCATGAGGTGAGGCGACCACCGTGGCAGTAAAGGTGGTCTCTGCACGGCAAAGACACGCGCGGCCCACGGGGCCCACTGCTTCACCCCATCACACCACTTGCCATGTGCCAGCCCAGTGGATGGAGGGCACACTTCCCTGTTTTCTGCTTCATTCATGCAACATTCATGTGAATCCCTCCTTAAAGTATCTGTGTATTGGGACTTCCCTGGTGGCGCAGTGGTTAAGAATCCACCTGCCAACGTAGGGGACACGGGTTTGATCCCTGCTCTGGGAAGATCCCACATGCAGCGGAGCAACTAAGCCCGTGCGCCACAACTACTGAGCCCGCATGCCACAACTACTGAAGCCCACACGCCTAGAGTCTGTCCTCCGCAACAAGAGAAACCATCACAGTGAGAAGCCCGCACACCGCAACGAAGACCCAACACAGCCAAAGATAAATTTAAAAAAGAGATGTATCTGTGTATTAAGGACAGGAGACGTATGCTCATTGGTTCTCCTAATAAACATTCCGTATTTGTTTTAACTCCCAACTCTTCAAACATCCTACCTAGTTCCAGAACAACTTCACGGCCCTCCTCTAAACAAAATCTGGAACCCCAAAGGATTGGGGGTCTTGGAAGAGAAAGACTGGATGAGGGGAGGGGAAGGAGGTGGGAGAACACCGGTGTCCACACACATGGGTAACACATCCCTCTCGCCCCAAACCAGTCGGAGTCCTTGCAGCTGCCCACGGGACCCTTATCAAGAGGCCCGGCTCACCCTTACCTCTCAGCCCTACACCGGGGCCTTGAGCTCACCATCTCACTCATCTCGTGTTCCTAGCATCGCCACAGAGCCTGCCACAAGGCCAGGGATCAGTACGTGAAGGCGCGTCAGGAAAACGTGCTGATTTCCGCCTTCCACGGGGTCTGCAGGCACCTCACGGGGGGTCAGTCTCGGGGAAGAACCGCCCAAATGACAGAGACGGAGGAAACAAGCTGGGCAGCAGGCAGCCTGAGCAGGTGCCCCAGTGCCTCTTCCCAACCCACCACTCAACAGACCAGAAGCGGCAGCAGCTGCCGGTCCTCACACCCACTGACGGGCCAGGTCTCCAGCACCTTCTGGGAAAAGCTTTCCTCCAGAGCTTCCTAGAAATTGCTCGTGACGTAGATGCTACTGTACTCTGATATGCTGCAGGACTTTAAAAGCCCCTCATTAAATAGAAACAAGGGCACCAAACGTACAGAGTAAACACAGCCTGAAAAGTTACCAATAGATGATAGTACAGCATATGTGTGCATGTGTGCGTGTGCATGTGTGCGTGTGCATGTGTGTGTGAGGAACCTTAGCTCATGCCACTGCACTCCTGGAGGAAGGAGCCAGGCTGGGAGAACATTCTATTCAGCTCCCAGAAGACTGTAAAGTGCTCAGTAAATATTAAACGTAGCAATCACTGGGGGTGGGTCCAAGGTAAAAAATATTTGGGAAAACAGTTTGATGTGTTAAATTTGTGTCCCCACATTCCCTTGGGAGACCTGGTCCTGGAGACACTCACAGAAGAAAGGTCTACCCTGGTGTGAGCAGGGGTGAGATGGGTAGCGTCTCCCCACACCTAATACTCAGCCAATGGCAGCTCCATCCTGAAACATCTTTTCTGTCTTAGTACTTTGTGAACACAGGCTGCCAGAGGTTTTCCTTCTGCAACAGGAAAGCAAGAAAGAGATAACAGCTGTGCTTTTGTATACATGGCTCTCCCTAAAGCTGCTTGTTTTTGTTCAAAACAGACTGCAGGCCTGTGTCAAATAAAATGTTTGCGGATCACCAGTGTGCCTGAATTTCACAAGGTTCCACTGGAGGGAGCTTGGGCTTGGCCCTTTGGATCAGCAGCTCCAGTCAAGACATTAAATATTGGCCTTGGGAGTAGAGGTAGAAACCTCCACGTGTTCACAGATTTGGTGCCCATTTCCCATCGCAGATGCTACCTGGTGTTCATCTTTATATCTATATGACTCTAGGCCAGTGCTGGGAAAGTCAAAAATTCAGTTAGCACAAAGGTAACGTTTCTAGGAAAGCTGATGGCCTGATCTTTTTTGTTGCATGGAATATGTTTTAGGGGCATGGAGACATAGCCTGCGATAAAAGTTGGTAGAAAAAACTCATTCATTTCTTTTTATGGAAATAGATCATCATTTCCAGCGGTTATAAAAACCTCTAATTTTACCTAAAAGCTGCAAATCATAACCTCAAAGAAACAGAAGGCAGGATTCTAGTTATTTAACATATAGACTGAGGTTTCCCCTTATAATGATTATCCCTTCTACTGTTTTCTGAAGCTCTTTGTAAGCCTAAGAATGAAAACACGCCTTCCCACGACATGTGAGATGAGAAACCCTAGCCCACTACGGGGCAGGGACCCCTGGGGAGCAGAAATGTGTTAGTTAGGCTTCAAAACACCTTCAGGGAGACATTTCTTCAAGGCCTAGGGTCTTCCTAAAGTCAGATGGCCCCAGTGGTGGCGCTATACAAATCCCAAATCACTTTCTGAAGAAAAGAACAGTGTTTCCCCTGCTTTCTTACAACCTAGAAGCTTCCACGTTACACAGTAGACTGTCAAATTCATTTATGCAGCAAATGACGGAAAACAAACCCAGCTAGGCTGTATTGGCGGGGTCTCCGTTTCCTAAGACCAGGAATCTCTAGGATTTAAAAAATTGAGTTCTTAAAACATTTATGCTCTGTGATTATACGAAGTTGCTTTTCTTAAGCACAGCAGTTTGGGTCCCTGAGAAGAAAATCATAATAAGGTTTGAAGGCTGCACAGACGAGAGTTGAAAAGAAATAGCTCAGTGGTGATTTGGTTGAGGCTTTGCTCCCGGGACAGGCCAGAGGGCTGCCTACAGGGGAAATCACTCATCGGACATATCTGCGTTTCTGCTGGTCATTGATTCTCGACTCCCCGTGCTGGGCAGGGCCAGCTTCTTTCAGAACACTGAACACCTCAGAAAAGACTCAGAAATGGCTAGAAAGAGCTAGAGCTCTTTCTCGATCTGAATAGCCCACCTTCTAGAAAAACCAACTCCTAAAGATCAGGAATTAAGGCCCAGGTCCAAATTCTCTTTTCAGGGTAGGTAGGGTCCATCTGTGTCGCCATGCCCCTCTTCCCAGCCCCCCACGTCATGCGTGGCAGGCAATTCTAGCCCACTGACCTTGGGTCACATGTCCAGCAGCTTGGTCTTCCAGGTTGGGGGTGTCTCCAATGCCTGCCTCTTCAGCTGGTTTGTGTGTCAGCAAATGAAGACGATAAAAGCAAAGACGGTTATTGTTTGCTGGAGACAAAGCTCCCCGCCTCTTCCGCTATGTTTCTGAAAGCATTCAGGAAAGGCACACCTTAGCAGCACCAAGGCGCTGCACCTCTGGCTCTTTGCAAATGTGACTGCCGGGGACGTGGATGAAAACAGTTCACTAAACAAAACCCACACAACCACGCACCTTACGGGCGACACGGTCCAGTAGGAAAGACCTTCTCTACAAGGGGCCCAGGGTCCTCAGTACCCCACTCAACAAGGACACAGGACAGGTGAGGTCAGAGAAGCAATTTGCTGCTCGGCCACTGCTGTGAGAGCTGTGTCCGGGCGGAGGCTGCCCTCCCAGCCCCAGCCGGCACTCCTGGGGCGGCGGGCGGCAAAGGTGCAGGAAAGAGTAGGTGAGGGCTGTGGAGTCCGGCTGGGGTTCAAACCCAGGTGCCACCATTACTCAGCCTCTCCGGGCCTCCGTCTCCAACTCTAGAATCCCAAGGTGATGACACTGGCTCACCTTGCAGGAGAGTGGTGAAGATTCATACAAAATGGTGTGAATGTATTTAGCAAAGTGCCTGGGACACAGCAGCGGCCCCCCGGCGGTTCAGTTTCTTTCCTCCAAACTGCTGGGCAAGCCCTTTAACCTCATGCTTAGAATAGGGGCTACCTGGCTAAAGGGAGGCCAGCAGTGTCAGTGAGCAGCTTTTGGGGTGTCTTGGGCTCCTGCTTAGGGAGGCACAGTCCATCCCAAACAAAAAAAGACTGAGACAAGCTAGTGATCATCAGTGGTACCAAAATCAATAAGCTTTCATACAGCACCAATTTCTGCATCGTGAAAAAAATCGGGATATTGCGGCAGGACAATGGATACAACTGTCCAGAAGAAAGAGCCCCTAAAAGGCAAGGTGGTCACGTCACACACTGACGTGCAGTGACCCCATGATCCCAGGAGAGCCAACGTGCCCTGATGGACAGTGACAGAGAGGCCACCACACTGAGAAATGCCCACCAGTTGCTGGCTGGGCCACCAGTCTTCTCTGCCAGTCCTGCAATGACTCAGTCTCTACACCTAAACCAGAAATGCCAGGTTACCACCACCTGCCATACGGCTCCACCACAGAGAACACGGCGGAGGCAAAAGAAAGAGCCCCTGGGTCGCTGGACAGACGCATGATGGCCTTATAAATAGCCAGCCCGCTGGCTGGCCCAGGGCAGCTGTGGCGAGGGGCAGGGGGCCAGCAGTGGGCTCGGGCAGCTCCCCCACTGCCAGTTCCTAGGCAGGAACATCTCTGGGTCCCCTGCACGCTGACACTGTACGGCCTGTGAGGTCTAACGGTGACAGCTCCGCGTCACTTGACAACAGCCGACTGTCTGGGAAGCACAGCTCCGAGCATAGGTCTGATCTGAGTTTCTGACAAGGTTATGGAAGAAAGGCTCAGAGTGACAGCAAGTCCAGCTAAATGGCACAGAGTCCTGGAGACAGAGGACACGAGGAGGCATGCTGATGACGTCACCGTCGTGGCACTGGGAAGCCCACCGCTTTCGCTTACCCACGCGGTGTCTTGATATCCTGGTCCTGATGCAAATCAGAAACTGCGGGCTGCTGCCCACATCTCTGACATCCCCTGATCCCAGCAAGGGAGATGCTCAGAGAAGCCAAAGAGAGGGAGGGTGTGTGACAGTGGCTGGGCCATCACATCCCTATACGGCTTCTACATATCCCTGGAGCCCCAAGAGGGCTCCATGCTCACCCCGCAAGGCAGGGATTCCTGCAAAGGGATGGCCACACTGCACCCCCAAATGGACCTCAGATGGGAAGTTTCACAGGAGAACCAAGATACAGCAAAGGGGACGTGCCCAAGTGAGGTGCTAAATTAAGGTACATATTGTTAAAGCCACCAGCTGAAAAAATGTCCCCCCAACTCTAAAACCTCCCGCTTCATTGAGGATGTAAAGGGTGGAGGGGGAGAGAACTTTTGAGGAGGATTTCTTTAGAGACAGCAGCTTGCGGGGTGGGGGGTGGCTGCCTGGCCACCTCCCATCTCATCCCATTGAGAGGGTTTCAAGGCACCAGGGGGAGGCACATGGTGTGAGTTCTCTATGGTTAGGGACATGGTGGACGGCTGTCAGAAGCCCACCTGGGAAAATCAGAGGAGGAGAGACACGCTGGCCCTGCCTTGGTGGCAGAGCAAAGCCTACGGGTAGTCTGCATATCCACAGTCTGTTGGGGCAGAGCACACCCATGTTCCCCATGGACCTGTTGTGGGCACAGGGCAGCTATAGTGGAGGGGGCGCCTCAGGCCACATGCAGCAGGGCCACTGATGTGAGCAAGCCAACCTCAGCAGGCGAGAGGCTGGAGGTGGCTCTTCAGACCCCAAGGGGCCAAAGAGAGAAGAAATGTCTGCTGGAATCAAACGCAGAGGGAGGGGCCTTCGGAGGGATGATGGGGATGGTGAGCGTGGGGTGTCTGGAAGAATTCCAGAAAGGTCCCCACAGAGAAAGAGTCAGCTTTAAACACCTGCGGACCACGTGGAGCTGGCTCACAGCAGCGCCAACGCAGTAAGAACGAACCTTCCTGCCCCTGCCCCGTCCTCGCCTCCCCCTAGTCCCAGAGAGGAGGGGCTGCAGCTTTGGCTCTTATGCAGGACTGGACATTCTAATCAGCATTTGCAGACTGGGTTTTGTGATTGTGGAAACTTAAAACACTTTTGATAACTCAGAAGTGATCAAAAGTCAAGAGGTGGCTAGAGTTTTCATCCCAGGCAGGGGAAGAGTTTCGCCCACTGACACAATTGTAAAGGGACAGCAGGAGACAAAAGCCAAGTTACCACGAGTCGTTCGTTCCACGGCCTTCAAACGACCTTCACTGTCAAGGACGGGGCCTGCCGGCTTCCAGAACATCCCCCTCCACCCATCTCAGAAGACCAACTTGCAAACAGAAGCTACTTGGAGGAGGCCGTGGTACTGCTCGGCCCCTGCCCAGTGTTCCCAGCACACAGGCCCGGGAGAGGGCTGCAGGCTTCCCAAACGGCTGCCCTGAGCCCTGTCTTCAGGAAGGAAAGAAAACTCCTGCCAGGGGACATTTCCCCCGCTGTCCACTGCTGGTGACATACGGTCCAGAACTCTTCTGCATTTCGTGCTGAGCACCTTCCAAGTCACCAAGACAACGGCTGGAGTCGTGCGTAAGCCCAGGGAAGGGGACGTGAAGGAAGTGACAGCCAGGGCTCTGGGCTGTGCTCGCTGTTCCCTAAGGGCCTGGGCAGCTCACAGGTGACTCTGGCGGCCCCGAGTCCTGTGCTATTTCTGGTCAGTGCCCTGTCTGGGCTACGCCCCGTCATCTGTGTTGACAGGACAGTCTCATCATGTCTGTTCGACACTGATACGTTGGAAAAGATAGTCCTAAAAATGGATGCTAGTTTACATCGCTGAGTTCCTCGGGGACTGTCCAATTACAATCCTCCAAAGGTGTGGGTGGGCCACCTTGATGCTGCTGCACACTCGGCTACCCCCCCGCAGGGAGCTGTTTACCTCCGAGGAAGTAACCCTGTTGCTGGCAGAGTCGCAGGAGGAGGGTGGACTGACCTTGGGGGTGAAGGCTGAATCTGCCACCAGTCTGCCTCAGAGAACTCCCTGGAGCTAAGACAAGGAGAGGAGGAGCTAGAAGGAATCCAGAAAGTCCTCTATTCTCTGGGAGGCAGGCAGCCATGGAAGCAAAAGGGCATCAGGCTCAGAACAACCAGAGATTCCCAGAGGCTGGTGTCCACCC